TCATGTTTTGTAGGTTAAAAAAATGTGTATTGTTAGGTACCCCGAGTTCCATCTTTTAGGTCTAGTTTGGTAAGTAGTATACTTTTAGAGGACTACTACGTACTTGGAATATGTTATTACGTCTCTTGATAGATTATGATAAACTTATAAATAGATTTGAGATTCAGGCTATATGAACTGATGATATTTATTTATAGATCGTAGGTCGGGTTGTTCTTGAGTGCAATTCACTGCATGATCCGTTCAGACAAGGGAATGCGAAGAAAGTAGTGCGTTTACGAAATAAATATAATCAATTGACCATGGATAAACCGAATTACGTAACAAAATATTGTGTTATTTTTTGCAGATGTGTTTTTTATCCTTGTACCTGAACACAGTACACCTATGGCCCATGGTAAGGAAGACGCCCGAGTACGTAAGATGTCAGCATTAAGGTGACACTCTCAACTGCGGTCTTTTGGTCTGCATGTTCGCCAAGTGTTACGCCCACGCAAATCCAAAAATCCATCCATTTGGTGGCATCGACAACAAATTTGATAATGTGAAGAGTTACCACGGTAAAATTGCAGCCAAAATACTGAAACTTAATGAATTTGGATGGATTTGAGATTGATTTGGTTGTGTTATTTGTGTTTGATTTGGATAATATGTAATTTTTGAATTGAATTGTTCGTTGAATTTTTTTTTATTTGTCTCATGTTCGATGGGATTGTATTAAGATTGATTGAGGGATCGAATAGTGAGTTGAATTTGGTGAGACTTAATGTTTGAAGTAATGCTATGAATTGTGTCATGAATGATTGTATGATTAATTATTCGGTATGGTTAAAATTGCAATATCCACATATTGTACCTTCACAAGGGATCGATGTACACATATAACTAGATCGAAATATATGCTCATATACATGTTAACCATTAGTTAGGAAGGTTATACTTGTACGAAGACATCAACGAGTCATAAAATTTATGCATACTGCTCTTAAATTGGAATGAACTAATTCATTATAAGATCTTGCAATGATTGAAGTAATGTCTATAATGAACATAAGTGTATTCACGGATATTTGAGTATATTAGTGGTGCGCCTAAGAAAGAAAAATATATACATGTACAACGAAGGTTTATGCCCTCTCAATCGCTATTATTTCTCTCAACCACCAATTAAGTGAAGAAGTGCTAATAGAAGAAGTACTTTCATCGAGTTCCTTAATTGTCTCATCCCTCAAGGGATTGACTGAAGTCGACCACATTCAAAGATACCTGTTACTATATACATAATACCTAAGCAGCCACCAATCATACATTAATTGTCAATGCTCGTATCAATAACACATTGTTACATACCTGCATTAAATATCAACATATCTCGAAGTAGTTTTTATGTACCTATAATACGATCTCATATGCTCCAATAACGAGTATCTATGCCCTAGTAACTTATGCTTGGAAACTGATCATTCTCAATTCAAAACATTCAATTGTTTTTGGTAACCATAGACGAATTTATCATTGTAGTGTTCTCGCGAATTCTAGAACTATATGTAAGAATAAACAACACATATTTACTATGAATTAATAAAAAAGAATAGAAAATACTTAGTTAAATTATATTGGTTGTTATGTATACATATTTTGTAGTCTTCTCATTGAAAAGTATGACATAAGTTGTCTAATGTAAATGTATCATGTCCAAACTTTTCCATCGGAGCTGGAAGAGGAAGTACTCTCATCGAATTTGTGAATTGGCTCATCCGTTAGTAGATTGTCTGAAATTAACTACATTCAAGGATACCTGCTATTACACAGATACTACCTAAGAAACTATCATTTATACCTTGAATATTGATGTTTGTACCTGGAGCACATACTTACATACTTATATCAAATACATACATACCCTGACGTATATCTTATGTACCTATAATATTGGTGTTATATGCTTCAGTAATGGGTATATATGTCCTGATAACCTGTGCTTGGAAAATCAACCATTTTCGATTCGAAATATTCACTTGTTGTTGGTAACTAGAGATGAATTCATTATGATAGTGTTCCTATGATACTATGAATTGGATGAAAAGATAAACATAACATATTTTCATATAGATGGATAAATAAGTCATAAATGACTTATATGATATATGTATAAATCGTAGTCCAACTTCCACTTATAAATGGCTAAATAAGTCATAATTAACTAAGTTAAATTATATTGGGTTGTTATAGTACAAAATTGTCGTCACGAATTGTTTAGACCTATTATATAGTAATCCACATTGTAGCACACATAACAACATTCGATCACGAGCATATGCATAGGGCATGACTCGGCTAAAAATACTAGTACTCCATAATGGCTCCGACGTACCCTCAATGTGGCTTGATGTACAAAATCCTACTAATTGTGTACTTATTGCATTCTTTCATGTAACAAATTAACTAAATTAAAAAATATCTATTTTTTTTACGGATAATACCTTTTTGAATGTATATATATACTCTTAAAACTAGTGTATAATTTTCTATGAGAAAGGGATTTATAATCCTCTCCATATGGGTCTAAAATAATATTACACAATCTTTTTATAATTTTTAAATGGGTAATACGTTGTAGGCCAATGTGTCTCGTAACATCAACTAGTTACTCCCTCAATTTAAAAATTTTAATATGACTGTCAATTCGTATACCTCTATTATCATTCAAGAAACTTATGTCATCAACAATTCATTTATAAATGACCGTCGCCCTATACTAGTACTTCTCGTTCATGTACCACGATACAACAAATTTACAAACAAGTTTCAGTACACATTCGGTCTAACTATTGTATATTTACTTATTATATATTACATAATATCCAACACACCAAAAGTAATTACACATTTGATCTGGCAATTTGAATGAATCATTATTTATCATTCAGCTTTCTTGAGGAACAGATGAACAGGTAGCGAAAGAAGTTGAATTCATATCGGGATAATTTGGGATTTCACATTTAGCTTGAAGCTAAAAAATTGTTTGGAAACACACTTTCAAAAACCTTCCAGTAACCATGCTACTCTTGATCTCAAGCGAGACTAATCTTCATCATCAGAGAGGTGAATAAAAATATGCTTGTAATTCATCCGGAGAATCAAGAATTGGATGTAAATCTATGTGAAAATTTCTCAACAAGAGCAAATCTAAATCCGAGACAAGTTATGATATTTCAACTATCGAAAACTTCACCTTGGATAACTATTCCATATAGAAACCTAATCAAAACTCTTAGGACTATCAAACTAAGCATATGTCTTCGATGAGTCATTTGTCGAACATTTGGTGTGTTAGAAGGAGGAGAAAGCATCTCGACATAGTTTGGCCGATGAGGAGCCGTAGAATCAACCATATATGAAAATTCAACCTCAAACAACCACAACCACACTCTCAATCTACACCAACACCAATACTCCAAAATTAATCAATTCCGACACCGATTAGAGAGAATCTTACAAGACGAAGAACGAAGCCACAAATTAAGATAAACTCAAATAAAATGAATTAGAAAAAGTGGCAAGCCAATTGTTACCAGAAATATACAATTGCCCCTCTCTCGTTGATTAATCGGCAGAATGAACAGGCAGTGAACGAAATTGAAACTGGACCTATTTCTGATGATGACGAACGAAATAGCACGATTAGAGTATAATAAATCCTTACGTTGATATTTTTCGGAGATGGAGGACAAAATCGCATGATGAAGAAACCCACGGGGTGAGAAATGGGTCTTTGGGAGGCTTGCAGATTGCCCAACCGGATTGCGGTGTTCATTTTCCGAAGGTAGATTTCTTCCTTATCGAATTTCAGTTCCGATTTTGTGCGAATTTTGACGATATGAGTTTTGAAAAGAGGAGAGAGAAGATTGAGATGGATAGGGAGTTAAGATAAAGCAAAATGAGAAAAGAGAGAATGCAGTATAATTTATTAGGAATGGAGACTGAATATCAATTTAATTATGGAAAGAGAGATTTATTCCCAATTGTCACTAAAAAAAATCAAGTAAACAAAGCTATAAGATTGATTACCGCAATCCAAGATAACCTTGGTTATGATAATCATAATATATATCTCAATACGTGATCATCTAAAATAGGGTAAATTATATAACATTTCCATTGTGTCTTTAATAAAAATGCACAAAACACTATATGTTTTATTTATTGCGTGAAACCCTATGTTAATGTAAAATTTGCACGAAACACCGTTCTTGTCCAAAACTAAAGACATAAATTACGAAAGTTTTATTTATTTAAAATATTTTACATTTTTTATTTGTATAAAACTTGCGTAATTTGATCTTTAATTTAGAAACAAATATATTTTTTAAACAAAAAGGGTGTTTTGTGCAAATTTTACATTAACATAAAAAATTCCATGCAATAAATAAAACATATAATGTCTTATGTATTTTTACTAAAACAGATGAAAACTATTGTTAGTTGCATCATTTCAATCATTCCTCGGGTGTGTGTGTGTGTGTTTTTTTTTTTTTTAGGTAAATTATATAACACATCCTTGTATTTTATTAAAAATGCACAAAACACCGTGTATTTTATTTATTACGTAAAACTTCCTTGTGTTAATGAAAAGTTTGCATGAAACACCCTCATTAAATTGATGTTTAGTTCGAAATAAAAACCTAAATTTAATAAATTTTATACAAATAAAAAACGTAAAATATCTTAAATAATTTTTTTAATAAAATAAATAAATAAATAATTGATCAATCATATATATATATTTTTTTTTTATCTAGCAGCAGTTACGGCTGATAGTACAGACTAACACATTATATATAAATTTAAACACAATAAAATTGATAGTAAAATACTAATACTTTATACCCCATACATTTTATGTTATATTTTCATAATATAGTATTTTCATGCGCTGCGCTGATTAGAGCAATCATGGGGATAAATCCCAATTGGCACCCTACCCTAAGACACAGATCTAAATGAAATCTCAATCATGCTGGAGTTGCTTTTCACCCATTACTCCACAAAACAACATAACATAACAAATTTCATATACAACTAGAATAGTGCAATGAAACAAGAAAGAGGTGTCTGGAACTCATTCTACCCTTCTCTCTCTCAATCTTACCATCACCACCAACACCAGCAGCAAAAGCATAGCTTGAACGCAGTAAAATTCCCAACACATAAGCTCTCAACCAACCTTATAACAAAATGAAATAACAAAGTGGTTGAAAGAAACACCAGTCACTCAAAGAGGACAGCATCTGTCACTACAGGCAAGCAGAAATAGAATTGATTATAAATTAATACATTCGCCGCGCAAATTACAGAAACCATAATCATGCTTTGTCATTGAGAGATTTATGCATATTAAAAATTTGAGTGGAGCTAAAAAAAAAAAAAAATCCAACACAGAGAACAAACCAGAATGTATAAGTAGAGCAGCATATGAGAAAGGCAAATGGCAATCAGATTGCTAATTTGGGATCCACTGTACCGGAAGCATTTCCTTCTCCAGACATGAGGTGGTCCGGATCCTGCACAATCACACAATAATGGATGCATACCCGAAAAGAAAAGAGTATACAAATAATCCACAGAGGCAGCACGTTACCTCCATTCCCCATTTTATGTAATCCCGTGATTCACAAGCCTTGTACTCATCTACAAGACTATCAATGATGTCCCTAGATTCATCAAACTCTGAAAGATCATTGTCCTGAGAGTATTGCAACACGGTTAATTTTTTAGGGCGGACAATTCCAAACGGTCAGAACTATAGAGATCTAATTATACTTAGCCATTCGAGTCCAAACAAGAATGCAGCAAAAGTTTACACTGATCATAAATAGTCACAATTACATTTATCAAGTGCTCGCTAGGTAACCTTAAGAGGATGAGCAAAAGAAAGCTAAAAGTGTCCCTTTGAGACTTCATGCACTATGGTGTACCATAAATTTGGTGACTGGTGTGAGCATACATGTACAAAAGAGCAGCCATGAATCGAACAAAAAGTTTTTAAAATACAGATGGCAACATCGATAAAGCTTAAAACCAGCAATATGCTGAAATAATAGATAGACAGATGCAGAAACTTACAGCAAACATAGGGTAATTTCTGTAGTTATCAAGAAAAGCTTGTCTCTTTCTCAGCTTGTCGTATTGGCTTAAACACTTGGAGAATAAATGGCGAATGCCCGTGTGACTGGCAAGCATGAGTCCACTCACCTAACAATTACATAAAGAGCATATGAATGAGACACTTTCATATTTGAAGACTTTAAGTTAAAGTGCCACTACATTCAATATTAACCATATCACACAAGTACTACAGAAACATATACAAAAATTCACTTGCTTTGAATTTTCTTGTCATAATGCATTGCATGTCTATAATAGTTATATGACGTAGCTTCAATAGAAGAACAATAGGCGTGAAAGGGAAAAATATTACGATCACCACAATTAATTTACCAAAACATATCTGTGTCAATAATTGCGCTCAATGGTTTGATGTACAAACAATTGTAAGGCATAAGCAAGCAGTTGAGCAAAAGATGAGTTGTGCTCTATATCCAAAAATAAAATTTAATAAAAAAGCAAACTGTTAAGAGTAAAATCTTACTCGGTGAGCTGTTTGGACATAAGGAGATTTCCGGGACAGTGCAACCTACCACAAGATGGTTCAAGTGTTTTATAACCATGTTTAAGAATAACATTTTCAAAAAACAATGAATGTATATTCAACATACCTGAATGCTAGCAGGTCCCCATTCAATGAAGTTAACAAGTTTCCTCTCACGTATTCTTTGCAGACTTTCATGAACCTGTGAATAAGGTCAATCATAATGTTTAAATTAGCTAAGCTGTGAAGTGTGAACACCTTAGCATAAAAAGATTAAAAAACAAACACAGAACGGGGTCCTCCACAATGAGCATCCTAAGCAATCAAAGTGCCTATGAAATATCCATGATTCAATGTCATCAAATAAGATAAAAACATCAAACTCGCTGATGCATACAACACACATCCTCGTCAGGGGACAGATAAGGGTAGTTCATAATAATCAACTGTTGTCCACAATGTAACCAAGTCATTCAAATGCTTCTACATCCCCATCTCACTGAAACCTAATAAATAATAACTGACACTTTTCTGTAGTTGTAATATAATATCACCCACTTCTATTATATTAAAAAACTATCTATCAAGAGACTGCTTCAACCATTGTCAGGGCCTTGAGAAACTTCAACATGACATAGTGATTAATTTTCTTACAAATGGCTAAATGTACGTGCAACTATAGCTACAGAACTTCGGATCTGAAAAAATAACTTTAAAAGCATCTATTGGGTAAATAAATGTGAATAAGCTTTATTGATTATACTGTAAATTGTCATGACCTAAATCCTGATAAATGATCATATTTCCATTTCTAAAAAATTTGTTAAGGTAGTTGTCAAAATTACCTGAGTAGGATCCACCTCACCCTGGATGATGTTTAAAATTGATATGTATTTTGCCTGGCTAGCTTCTTTGGTCCGAGCACAAGAGGAAACCATGATATTTTTTGTCTGTTAAGGTAGAAACCATGAGAACATCTTTCACACATGTACAACAAACACAGATCATTTCTAATTTGTCTTGCCTGGAGAAGTCTTCTCATCACATCAAGTACGGTTGTTTTCCGGATAACATTAGCCTGCCAATTGGATGCACCAGTATTAGATTGCGAATAACAATTGAAAGAACAAAAGATGATTTTATTTCTGGAATCATAGATGAAGTAAGAGAAAAGCTTTATTTATTGCCTTTAACAGATTGAACATGCAAAATCCTTAAATATTTAACATCAACGGTCAAAAACTGAACAATCAATCAATATCAGTATCTAGTAGCATCTTATAAGTTGAAACCCAGTAGCATGCTAAAATGGTACAAACAGTTCTGCAAAATAAAATAAAATAAAATAAAAACTCAGTAGTATGCTAACTTGTCATTTTCAACAAAAACGTGCTGGCTGTTAAAGATGAGTTGCATTGAAGTACATTTAGCAGCAAGAATGTCAAGTATGAGCACAAAGGACTTAGAAATGTAGAAGAAGACAATTCCCTCTCACACAGAGCATACTTCATTAATTTATATAAAAAGTTGTAAACTGATACAAGACAAATAAATGTGAAGCTCCAATGCTAGTCACTACAAATGATTCAACTTACTTTGTAGATAGCACAGATAAATCTAATTGTAGATATTTTAGAGAATGATTTTCCTAGTAGTTATCTGCTGCCTTTGAGTTCTATCCTAAGGAAAATATTCATTTCGTTCGATTGTAATGGAGTTCAGAACGTGTTCTTCCTGTCATCTAACTTCAAAAAAAAAAAAACTCAATACTAATCAAAGTTAGTCATCGACATCAGACCTGCCGCTCCACTGTGAGAGGTGTATATCCAGTCATCAGGAAGTGGCATCGAGGAGTCGGGATCAATGAAGCAAGGAGGCCAACCAAGTCATTATTCATATACCCTGGATAGCGCAAGGTGGTTGTACTAGCTGACATGACAGTAGACACAAGAGAATTTGTTTGGGCAAATGTGGGAGTTGTGATATGCAGCCTCTCAACAGCAATTCTATTTAATGCAGTATTATCAAGAACAACTACGCAATCTGCATTCAATGTTAATCTTTTGAGTGTTAGAAGGGAGTTGTACGGTTGAACAACCACATCACTTGTCTCATTCTGGTTTGGAAAAACACTATATGTCTGAACAAGTTTTTTGCTATAACGATCATTCAATGTCTCCAACAAATAAGAACCCATGCCTGCATGAAAGCAACAAATTTAAGATTAAGCATGGATAATATAAAGAGATAATATAGTCATTCAAATTTGATAGTGATTAACAACAAATTAGCACGATATAGGGTCCTCAAGGATCCCTTGCTGATAGGTCAAAAGGTTAACCAGACAATTGAGCCTTCTTGCAGCTGAAATCAGACACAAACACTGGATAGATAAACCTATGGCCTATGAATTGGTTTCTTCGGGAGAGAGGGATTTGTTGTAGTGTTGGGATTTCTTAAATGAATGTCCAAATGGGGGATTCCATCCAAACAAAAAGTAAAAAACAAGCCACTCCAAAACAATGATAGCAGTATGAAATTTAGTACAATAACCGTAGATATCAGATTTATATTTTGGAGAAATATATACTCAAGCACACATTTAAGCATAAGTAGTTTGGCATTACTAAACCAATAGCTTAGTTTCAGTATAAAATAGGTCAAAAGGGATATATCACCTGAGCCTGTTCCCCCAGCAATAGAATGACATAGAACAAATCCCTCAAGACTATCACTTCCATCTGCCTCTCTATCAATCATGTCCATTAGATCCTCTTCATATTGCTTGCCCTAATTAATATGATAAAAGTGGCATCAATAAAAGAGAAAATAATGAAAGTTTGACAAACTCAAAGACTATGCATCAAGGCATTAAACTCATAATGAAAGTAAATATATGAATTTCAATGAGAAATACAAACTACATCTAACGCTGCATGCCCCTAAGCACATATGAGACCCTGCTGCAAAATCATGAAATGCATTGTGTTCATTCGGCTATCAAATGTCCCACGTTGCTACGGAAGTAGAACAAATCTTTTCATGAATGATAGAAGCTTCCTCTCACAAGTCCCAACAAAGTGCCAAGTAACATCTCTTTTACGTGCCAATCCCAAATAATGCGAAGCACACAACTAGTCAAGATTATGGCTCTAATCAAGTCAGTGCCCAAAAGGCAATATGATACAATGTCATTACAGTCCAATGCAATAAGGAGGCACGTAAGAAAGACTACAGGGTAATGGGTTCTACAGGCAACTCTTTCAAATTATCATAATTTTGAGAAATAAAAATCCAGAATAATGAAGCTCATCACAAACTTCTACAAATCCTTTTCAAATAGGAGAAACTGTATCCAATGGTGTAAATAAACCATCCAACTGTAGAAGTAACCAAAATCAGATGAATAGTCTTTGCAGAAGGTGGATTCAGATGGCACAACGAAAGGCTTCTTAATCGCATGATAAAAGGGTTCAAACCGCACCATCTGTTTATGTGAGATTACTATTTATTGAATAAAAATATCCCATACCTGGTGATATCCACTTGCCCAATTATTTCCAGCACCCCCTCCATGATCTGCTATGAATATATTCTCGTGATTGTACAGATTCCTGTATTCACTGTTTTGGATGCCATTGATCACTCTAGGCTCCAAATCCATAAGCAATGCTCGGGGTATATAATGTTGGTCGTCCGCTTGATAGAAAAACACATCTTTTCGGTCACCTCCCTGCAGCAAGTATATTCAAAGAGACATTTATTATTATGCAAGCACTTGTCTTTAATCGAAAATTCAATGTATCAGATGAAAAAGACAGATATCCAATCACAATTAAGATGAGACAAAGGTCCTTAAGTCAATACTCTGAAGTGTAAATTTCCGAACATTTAAATGAATACTCGCAAAATAATTTCCAAGAACAGCATGCACTTTATCTAGAATTGATGATACATTTCTTAAACCTTTCCCAGTTTTAGTTACAAAACAAGACATAGAATGTGTGGTTAATCCTGTAAAAAGTAGTCCCAAACACATTTCGACAAACAGCAAGTAGCATTAATCAGTAGAATTTTTAATTAGACAATGCTAATGTAATGGAGTCATTAAAACAGCAACTTCGAATTGAAAGCTTCAATCAATATATATAGATGATTGATTCCTAAACCAACATCCAACGGACTGTCACTCCGGATTTCTTCCCTCAGTCACTCACAACCAAACCAAGCCAAACCCTAAATCATAAACCCTAACACTCTCAGCGAGATTGTCCCTGGCTTCGATTTCCAGCATTCACAGATAAGTCGCACTTACAAAAGTTAACAGCCCGCGCGCTAACAATCATCATTTCAAAAATTAATTAATGACGAAATCCTTAACCACTAAATAAATAACCATCAAGTCTTGCACAAATTCAGCAGATTCAGACGATGAAAACGGCATAATTGAAACAATCAATCAACATTGCCTTGTGTAGAGGCCTCGTCGAAGTACACCAGACAAAACGCGACTTACAAGGGTAGAAAAAGAGGAAAGTAAAAGACAAAAAGAAAGGAGGAGGAGGAGGAGGAGGAGGAGGAGGAGCAGAAACCTGAGTAGCGAAATCTTCAAGAATGCCTTCTTTGCTAATGCCGTGCTCGAGGCAGAGCTGCTTCCAGAACTCCATCCCGATCTGGTTGCCGCATTGGCCCACTTGCAGGGTGATGATCTCCCTCGGCATGATGTTTCTTCCCAAAAACGAACTAGGTTTGAAGTGGTAGTAGCAGAGTAAATCCTTGACGTTTTGAAGGAAGGGGCGAGGAGCCGCCGGCCGACTTCAGATGGGATTCCCTTCTCCTCTTCTCTCTACGAACCCAAAAGGAAAAAGCAAAAACGACAATAGCTCTTGATTGAAAATGCGCGGCGCCAACTTCATCCAATTTTTAGCGTTTAAGGGATCCACCTTGCGATACATAGTTTTTGCTTTTAGTTATGACACTAAATTTTGTTACTTGTCGTATCATAAAATAATTATTTTTTAAATTATATATTATTATTATTATTATTATTATTAAAAAGGAAACCTATGTAATTTTATAGATAGATTGGATTTCAATCACTTTATCTACAAATTTATTTGCAATTCATTCCCTTTTCAAATATAGATTGTATTTAATTTTCAGTTATTTTATTTGTGCACTTCACTCATTCTCGAATATGTACATGTGAAATATCAAACTTCAACTTCGTCATTACTAATTTTATTTTCCTTTCTTCTAGTCTATTAATCTCCTTTGTCAATTCAAATTTTGTTTTAAGTAGAAATTTTAGAATTTTTTGTGTTTCTCCCTTTCTTCTAGTCTATTAATCTCCTTTGTCAATTCAAATTTTGTTTTAAGTAGAAATTTTAGAATTTTTTGTGTTTCTCCCATTGATCATTCATTTTTTGACAAATACAACACTCGTCATATTTAATCCGGCCACAAACAATTTTTGAATACATAGCAAGACGCACATTTTTATATTTTTTATTGATTGTCAACCCATCTCAAGCCAATGCTCGGCTTTAGAAATCATATCTTATCCGACATCTTTCCATGCAAAAATGTCGGAACAATTCTTCAAACTCTTCAATATTGAATAAGGGTTTTTTTTTTTAAAAAAATAAAATCACAATTAATTTGATTTATTGAAAGTGACAAAGTTTCTTTTAAAAAATTAGGAGCAATGATCCGTTAACGAATAACATTTGTTTGTTTTTAAACAAAAATTTGCTTTGTTTAAACACATTGAAAGTATAAACAACATTTATATAATTTTGTCTTTGATGTCCTTAAGACGGGATATAAATAAGTTTAAACTTGTAAAAATTTAGGAATCAACACTTCAATCTTCTCTGAATCCTAATAATATGATTCATCCATAAAGATAGTGGTGGATTTTCCATCATTCTTCCTATGTGTGCTTCTTGCATTTCTCTACCATTTGTTTTGTTCTTAAGACCAATGGCATAGATGATTAAAGTCCTAAAACTTCAAAAATTCTATTTTTATCCTTAAATCTAACCCTATATTGTTAATCGCCATGGTAATGGCCTGTCGATCTAGGAAGTTGATGAAACATTTATTTTTAGTCTTTTTGAACCTCTTTAATGTTGGCCATTGACTATTTTTTTTTATGTGACCACAAAGTATATGGTCGTCATTTTCATAAGGTAAGTATAGAATCTCTCAGGTAATAATCTCTCTATCTATAACATAATTGGACGGTCCAGGAAAGAGGAACGAAAGAGGAGTATATGACGAGAATGCTACTTCAATTAAAGATAGTTCCAAATTATGATAGCTAAAAATTTGAGTGGCTAAAGTGTGTGTATTCACAAGGAATTTTTATTCGAAAAAGATAATGTGGTGGATTATAGAAGATGATCTGATATGGTAAACATTTGTGGTTGTAGACCCTGAGTAGTTATCATAATTATTTATACTCTTTAACTTGTGAGTTTTCAGGTCGAACACAGGGATTTTAAGTTGCAAATTTTAAATCAAGTACAGATCTTGTGAAAGCGGCGGAAAATGCAGTAAGGGACCCGCTTACAGCGGATCAAATTCTAATTCTACGAAAAGCGGTAAGCAAAAATGGTAAAGTATTGTGGAGGCAAGCGGCACGGAGGTGAGCGGTGGAGTGCCAGTGAGGGGCGAGCGAGGGGGGGCACGAGCGAGTGGCATAATTAATGTAATATGTATAGATTAAGCAGTAAAGAGTGAAGGAGAGGTGTTGTGTTTGAACTGTACGTTACTTAATGACTAGGTTTTCCTGGATGAGATGAGCGAGTGGTGTTGGTGTTTAAGCAGACATATATGTATAATACGAAAGCGGAGAGAGGAGATGATGTAAATATAAACCAGATTATAGAGAATTCTTATCACTGGTATTTGACCTTAAGGGATTTACAACAAGACTTCAATGACACTCAGAATCGGAACATTATAAGAAAGAAATCCTACTGTCACTAGGAATTTATGCGACCTGATAGACCACCGCCTATGCCCTCATTAGTGGCATTACCCTTCTGTTACCTCTTTTTAATCAAAACTGAATTTGAACCAGTAGTTAAGCAGGTCGACAAGGCTCCCACGTACTTAACTACATTAAACTACCTTTAAAATATTTGTGACAAAAGACAAGACTTGGATAATCAATTTTTCTATGCTCTAAACCAGTGAAGTGAAATTCTTTAAAATCAGGGTTTATATAAGTGTGAAAAAGTGTGAAAGAAGTGGAGATGAAAAACTGAATGATATTTCATTACTTACTAGTAAAGCTGGAATCTCTAATTCTACAAAACTGTAAATGAAAGCGATAAACTACACTAAGTAAGAAGTAAAGTATTGGCCAAGGGAGAAAGGGAATCCCCACTCCCTTGGCCATTCCTGTGGAGAACTCTCTTTCAGGGTTGGAGCTCTCGGAGAACAGGAAGACAGTTAGACTGCACAGAAAAGTAATTGCTAGTATATCTACATACAGGTATCTGGCCTTATTTATAGCAGGTATAAATAACGGTCAGAAGCAGTTACAAGGCGGTTTCAACCGCTAGGCAGTTAGACAGTTGATGACGGTTATTCTTTTGAAGCAGTTGTTGTCCATAACTCCTAGTGTGCTCGCTTCGCTTGCATGGGTTTGTAAGGGCGCAGATCTTCCTCGCTTGCCGGATGACTGAAGGGCATAAGCGCAGTTAGGCGGGCTTGCTTGTGCTGGCTGGTAGTGAAATGGTTGTACCGCTGCAGTTGGGACACTTAGTCAATATTTGAGTTGGGCTGCCGTCACTTCGCGAGCGGGAGAGGCTGCCGCTTGCCTCTCTTGCCTTAGTTTTCTGGGTGATGGAGTCACCGCTTGCGAGCGGAGGTGGCTGTAGCTTGTGGCGTCTCCCTTAGATTTTCTGGCTCCAAAACACCGCTTAAAAGGGCAAAAATTGTTAATAATCTCAACAAACCAATTATGGATCATGTCAAGTGATAGAGATCAATAAAGTATGCCATTAACCAGCTATTGTAATAGTTTTTATACAGAAATTCAAGTAATAAGTAGTTTTATCAAGCGAAGAATATGCTTATATTTTGAGTCATCAATAGTTGAAATTAAGTTCGAGCTTGTAATAGCCATTCATCCTCAACTTTTCACATCGTGTAGTAAACTTGAGAATATGTTTATTGTCAAGTATTCATTCTCACTTGAGAAATAATCAAATCCAAAAGTTTCCAACCATTCCCCAAGCTTTATCAATAGGAATGCTTTTCGGATGCACTCGGCCAAGATCTTTGGATCAATGAATGGACACAAATCTTGTGGGATGGTTGATCATTGTTGTCGTCCGGTTGTTCCAAACTTTCTCCTTGGTCTCCGTATCTAGATGTTAGATATTGCTATTTCTATCAATGGGTGTGTGGATCCTTAGCCTACCATGTATTTTTCCGTGGCCATTTCATTCTCCCCTAAATTTTTACTTCCTGGGGAGGATAAGGACTTGGTTATATTGGACTAGATTCTTAATTATCCAATTTTAACTTCCTTCAAAGTTTTCTTGAGGTGGACTAGATCACTCTATAGCTAAACCTTCAATAGGCATTTGCTACATTTAGAGGATACCCTATTATATCATTTTTTATTGTGGAGAAAATCAGCTACCTCAAACCCTTCAACAACAAGATTAAATCCTCTTGGATATTGATGACTACCTAAAGCCCATTCATGGCTGAGGATTGATGTTTCTATCCATGTTTGCACATGTAGAGTTTTTTTTACTGTCCCTCATGTCTCACATAGGCCTATTTTTTTCGTGCATTCAAAATAATTCATTTTCTATGATCGAACACAAGAGGTTGACTAATTGTTTATAATTATCGTAAGCTATATATCAAATTTTAATCTTTGAAAGCTTGATTGACTTCTTTCCTGATCATTGTGGCCATGGATCCAGTCTGTGATGTACCGAGGAAAACATCTAATGCTCCCAGAATGTGATATGATGAAAGATATGAAGATGATTAGACACGAGATGCCAACACCGATAACGTTTATCTTTACCCTACAATCCAATAAGCAACACATATGAGTCCGTGGTTCTAACTTAGTGTGTTCGTGAAGTGGGAGGAGGTCGAAACACACATAACCAAATGGACGAAGTAGAGAGTAATCAGGGTACTAACTGAATAGTTTTTCAAAAGAAGTGGCACCTTGAAAAATAGAATAAGTTAACTTATTGATGGTGTAAAAGGAAGCAAAAACGGTTTTTCCCTAGAATAAATTAGGACAAGAGGCAATTAGAAGAAACACATGAATGGTATCGAGAATGTGACAATGCTTATGCTCTATCCGATCATTTTTTTAGGATGTGTACGGGAAAGAGCGTTGAACATAAGTAACCCAAGTAAAAAAAGACTAATACCCAGTCATTCTACTCTAGGGCGTTATCGGTACATATTGTTTGGATAGTACACAAAAATTAAGTGTAATTCATATTAACAAAAGTGATATAGATTGGTGTAAGTTTAGAGTGTTGCTTCATAAAGTAAATCACGTAAAACGAGAAAATTCATTAACAAAAATTACAAAATATTTATATACATTTGTTGACCCAACCGATAAAGGTCTTAAATATCCGAATGCTCTAAAGAAAAAAAATTTTATTAGCAACAGAGAAATTTTGAGAGAAAGAAATAGCATAATATTCTCAAAGTTTACAGTACATACAATACAAAGACTCAAGATGCACATAACCTTAAACAACTTTACTGAAGAGGGACCAGAGATTTGTAGACATATCCCAACCGAAGATGCCACTGATAACCCGAAAAAAAGAGAAAAACTGCATCAGAAAAGGACTAAGGAAAGAAAGTCTGAAAGTAAATAAGCTCAAAATATTGAGCCATTTTGCATCTCATTCCAAGAATCTGG